TGTAAAGTAGAAGAGAAATTATTTTTCAAGTACCATCTCGAAAGTGTGTTGATAAAAAAAAGTTTGATCAGAAATTAAGATTAATTATAATATTTATAAAGTTCTTTTTTTTTTCTTTCTTTTTTTTTTCTTAAGTGGTTTACACTGCAAATAAATCAATGTGACATCGAAGTTTGAGATTATAGGTTCTTCTTAATAAATCCCTAATTCTCATCAATCTAATTGAGGAAAGGATAGATTGAAGAAAAAAAAATGACGAGAAAGAATCCAGTGAAACAATGTCATGTCTGATGAACGCTACAGTAATATTTAAACATCGACCTATCTGAACTGGTGATCCGATCCAGCCACTTGCAATCCAAGAAAACAGCTTCACACAAACTGCAGTCAGTGAATAATGTTGGTATTATGATGTTGAAGGTGATTTGTAGACAGCAGCAATAGTGATCATAAGATCGCCATCGTTTTTAGTGGGTCTCATATTGAGAGTTTGCTACTTCCACGATATTTTTAACGCAGTCATTACTAAAACACCGGGTAATCAGATCATTTTTTTTTTTTTTTTTTTGGTAGGGGACACGTTTTATTCGCCGGGTTTTCTCAAGGGAACCTCCACAAAAAGTGGAAGATATGTCTTAGTTTTAAAATCTTAACTTTGAAGTTCTTACTGTAGCTGAAATTCACGGATTAAAAAAATCTGTTCTTGTAAAATAAAAATTTGAAATAAGGTTTAAAAAAGAATAAAATAAACGGAATTTTATTCTCTGGATTACAATAAGGCAGACACGTGACCAAACAAGTCCTTTCTTCGCATGTAGAAAAAATGTTACGAACGACAAACGTGGTCTCTTGTCTGCATTGCGATTGTCATTAGCCGATGTTCTCGTAAATTCGTCCCTTAAAAATCCTAGTTCAATAAGATCGAAGTTTCGTTCTGATACGATTTATTTTTTAAACAATAAGATTTTTTTTCAGTCTACACAAGAGTAGATATATTCTCATGATTAAATGCATGAATCTTGTTTTTTTTACCATATTTCATAACATGAGAAACTAACTAAGCAACATGAAGTCTAACAGTTTTTAAATAAAAAAAATAAAATGTCTAAAAAGTTAACATTAGTCAATCTTTTTTTAAAATCACAAATAAATTATATAACATACTGGGAAAACACCATTTTTTTTTTTTTAAGTTATTTTTTTCACGATCAATCTACAGTACACTGGTCATGAGTAGAGAGAAGAGAGACCATTTATTTTAAAAAGTTGCTTTCAAATTTTTCGAGAAACAGACCCCCACCTCCACCCTTCTTTAAATGCCGGTCGATCTTCAAAATGTAATAAAGAAAAAATATGCACGAAACGGATACACAATGATCGAAACAGTTTAACTCACAAGAGAAATTGTTAAGTAAGAAAATATTTAAATAAATACATAATCTGAGAGAGATGAGTAGACAGACAGCAAAAGTGGATGTTGGCCTGATGTAGTAAAAATAAAAATGGGTACTTAGTGTTGTTAATAATTTTATTAAGTAAATTACATTTAAATTCAAGAGAAGTTCTTAAGACAAATTCTGCTCAATTAATTATAATTAAATGGGATTTTCTAATGATATTCGATCCCTTGTTTGTTTTTGTTTTGTTTTTAACCAATACTAGCCGGATGGTCGGTCCTTCTATCCAATTTTTCAAAATCCTTAATTCTGTCGCTGAAGACTGAAGATGATGAAATTGAAAGATACAATTGCAGGATCAAACGATAGGAGAATCATTTGAGGAGATTCTAAAAATTCTACAAGACATGTTTATGCCAGATTTTCCTGCAAGCAACGATAATACTGGCAGAAAATAAACAATTGTATTTTTAGAGAGGAAGCCTGAAGAAAAGCTACATTCCTAATAAAAAGGCAGGAAATATGAATTTATTCTAATTTACCCCGCACTTTATGATGATTTATTAAAAATCAATGAATATTCAATATAATGGAATACCAGTTTGCGGTGGGTACAACAACAATACGAAATTATTTAAGAGGATTATGATTATTATTATTCGGATCGATGATCTACGACTAAACAAAAGCTGTTAATAATAAATATTTCCAGCAAAAATAATTTTTAAGAAACTGGTACACAAGCAAGTAGCATGATCAGACAAAAAAATGACGTGACGACACGTTGTCAGCGGGTAAAAAAAAAAAAAAAAAATGAATGACCTTTTCAAATTTTGAAGTAATAAATAACCAGTTGGTATAGAATTTATTTTTTTAACAGTACAAAATAAAAGGCTTGTATATGGCACACATTTTAATACAAAATTAAATTTAATACGCAAGTTTTTCTTACAATTTATTTATTTACTTAGGTCTACGAGAGTTCTTTTTCTTTTTCATGCATGCAACGTAAAAGAAGGTTTAATTTTTAATTAAAACCCAAAAGAAACCACTCTTTGTTTTATGGTAGTCGTTTTTTTTTTATTTATACTCAACTAAAAGACCAATAAGAGAGCTTAGGTTAATTTCGACAGAAAATACGTAAGGAGGTACCACAGACATTTCGAATATCACCGTTGTGCCAATAAGGTATTGTCGGGTGACTTATTTTAAAAAAAAAAAAAAGCGGGTTGGATTAATAAATTATTAATACAAAATCCAAGAGAAGTTGGGCTTTCCTCCACATACAGAAGAGAAAACAAGAGTCATGAAATTCATGATCTCCTTAAAGTTTTAGTTAGTAGTTATATTTTGAATCAATAAAAAAAATAAGATGCTTGGATACAAAGAGAATAATACCTGTGTACTATAATGACTACACAATGTAATTAAGTATTTTTTTTAATTTCTAAAATTAAAAGCGAAACTTTTACTTTTTAACGTAAGTGGTGTTCATTGTGTTAAAACAACTCATCAAAATTGGTGGTAAAAACAAGTACATTTTCGTTGTCAACTAAAAAGCACTTGATCTTTAAAAAAAAAAAAAAAAAAAGGACCTCAAGCCGGACAGATCTACTCAAGAAGTGAAAGGAAAATTCATTTAGCTACTGTAAAAAAATAGAAATCTCTAACTCTAAGAGATGTATTTTCAAAGGTAGAGGATTGACGTCAACATTTTCTTTAGGAGAGAAAAAAAAATGCAATAATTTGCCACTTTAAAAGTAAAAGATTATTTCGTTCTATAGCAAATTTCTAAAAAAAAAAAAAAAAAAAAAAAAAAAAAAAAAAATGTTATAATTATTATTACATTTTTAAAATTTATTTTAATCGATATTTGGGAATAGATCAATAAGCATGACATGTTTATGATAAGTTTTTTTTTTTTTTCATTCTGTATAGATCCGTTGGTCTCTAGTTTTGTCTCAAAACCTGAGAATTTCTTCAACAAAGTCTGTTCTTAATGTGGATATTTGCTATATTAAATTTTATGTTCAAAATTATAAATGAAGGGAAGGAAAAAACGCTTTACATCGGGAAGGGAGAAAAAAATCAGAAAAATGTGTTGAACATTCATACTGCAATTAAAATATTGATTCCTGTTAAAATTTACAACAAAAAGAATTTTATTCTAACTAAAAGACGAAAAAATAAAAATGCTGAAACATTTTTTTTTTTTTGGTTGGAGAATTTAACACAAAGGTGAAAGAAAAATTAAGTTTTTAAATAAAGTCTACGGGCACATCGCATATGATAGAAACTGCAGTATACAATTTGAAATATAGAAGTGATTGAAAGGGGTGTCATGAAATCTAAATAAATAAAATAATAAAGAATTGGAAATTACGATTTGAAAAATTCTAAGTGGGAGAACACACCAGATGTGAGGGGGACGTGCTCCTCACAATATCTGGTGATTTCAAAACATAAGCCAATATACGTTGTTACTTGTAATTTAATATTCTTTTTAGTCTTTAGTTTGGAAAATAATCGGGTTTCAGGTTTTAAGTAAATAGAATAACGTTAAAAAAAAAAGCATGAAATAAGAGAAAAATAAAAAAAATATTTTCTAATTTTCATAATGAAACTAGAGAGGAAAATAAAAAACGTTTTTTTTTTGTTTTTTTAATATTAACTCTTTAACAGTCAACAGGGGTTTGGAAAAAGAAACTAATTTCTTTATTTTATTTTTAACGCAATGATTAGAGACAACAACAAAAAAAAAAAGTTTTTTTTTCTAAAAATGATATAGAGAAAATAATTGTTATTCAAAAACCGTGACTCTTATTATAAAAAGAAACGATAGAAAGAAAAAAAGATCAATTGGAGGGAAAAAAAACCGCGTGTAAAACAAAAGGAAAAATAAAAATAGATTAAATGAAATGGTTTCAGGTTTCACAAAAAAACAAGGATGACCAATGAATTATAATAATATCAAAAATGAGAAAAATATATTTTTTTTAAAAAGGTGTGTGAATGAAAGCGAGAAAAATGGGAGATAGAATAATAATAATAATAATCCCATGTTTATATACTTACAAAGATGTAGAAATATTGTCGCTTAAGTTGGATAATGTGGAGTCGGGAAAGAAACTATAAAGGACGGTGGTCCAGCCGCCTCCAAGCCTTTTTTTCAAATGTGATAAAGTATAATATGCGGATGTTCAACGGAGTGCAAATGGTAATTAAACACGTGACGCACACAGCAACTAAAATCAGTCTGCTCTCTGTTCGCCTTTTTTATTCACGTCTCTCTCTCTCTTTCTTTCTTTCTTTCTTTTCCCTCTCTCTCTCTCTCTACCTATCTCTTCTTACTTAGCCATTTCTCGTAGTTTTCCCCCTTTTTTCGCACACCTCTTCAGTTTAAACATCCCCCAAAAACAGTCTTTCCAGCTCCTTCTTGTACAGTATGTGCGTACAACAAATAAATATAGACTGCGACTCGATACTTTTCTTTTGTACGTCCTCTCTCTTCTTCTCCCTATCCTTCGTCCATCCTTTTTTCCTTCTTTTCTTTTCCTTTCTTTTTCTTCCTTTTTTTGCTGAAGATGTCTTCCTGTCATGACAATGTTTTTTTTTATTTATTTATTTCTCTATCTTTCTTCCTTTCTTTCTCTCACTTTCTTTCTTTCTTTCTTCCTTTCTCCTTGTCTTTCTTTCTATTCCTTCCCTCGCTTTCTTTCCTCCTTTGTATCTCTCTTTCTTTATTTCTCTCTTCCTTTCTATTTCTCTTTCTTTCACTTTCTTTCCTTCTTTTTTCTCGCTCTTTTTCTTTCTTTCTTTCACTCTCTTCGTTTCTTTGAAAGGAGACAATAACAACTGTTTCTATGTTTATCTCTATCGTTTCAACAAACATTGCCCTTTACTCTTTTTAATACATTATTCTCCGTCTTTTCATTTCCAAACTTCAAATCTGCGGATGATAATTTTAGTAAGATTGTAGAAAAAATGACATAAAAAAAGACAAACCCCTAAAAAAACGTAACTGAGCGTATCTTTACGCCACGGTTAGTAAATCTTTCAGTAAATTTTTAAAAATCATTTATCCTTCCCATCTCCAAAAACATCTATACACGTGGTTGTTTTTATTTTTTTAATACCATGACTTTTCAGGTCATGGCTCTCCACAGTTTCATTTTTTATTATCAGTGAATTGCTATGATTTGGGGGTAAAATAAAGATATTGGAACTGGAAGAAGCTTTTCGCCATTGAGCGCAACAGACTTGATCGGGGTTTGAACTCGTCTCGTTGATTCCACTTTTTGTACCAATAACTACACATCACCTACGTAAGTCGCCATTTTTAAGTAAACACTTAAACACAAACCTAATGTATTGTAAAATATACAATACTATAGTAAATTTATTAATATTCTGTTTTAGAAAAAAAAAATAATAATAAAAATAAACCCAATATTCATTCCCAACTCTTGGAAATCATATTCCTGCGAACCATTGTTTCTATTAATTCTATGAACGTAGTTTTTTTTATCATTTGTAGTAACTTTATTTTAAGTCAATTTTTTAATATATTTAAAAAAAATAAAGCTGTCAGTGTTTGGCTATGACATTGGTAAGAATCATTTAAATGCAGGACAATCTCATGAGATTTGTAATGCTGAAACAAGAGTAACCGCCTTCAGCCAATGACTCTACTAACCAATAACTCGGTCAAAGGAAAAGCAGAAATAATCAAGTACGGGATATGTGGACGTATCTGTCTCTGTGTGCGTGTGGGTGTAGGTAAATCAATATTGTAACAACCAGACGTAAACACAATCACTTCCGATTTACAAATGAAAAAAAACAAACTTTTACCATTAAATACTCGACAAATGGATCACAGAAATCTATAATGTTCCCGCTTAAAGATAAATTCAAAACAATTCAGCCAATCAAAAATATGCAGATCACTTTTTTGGACCAATGGGTACACAATTTCCCAATTCAGAAAATTTTCTCTGGTAGTCGTTTTTCTTTTCTTTTTTTCGGTGATGGTGGTGGGGACAGTGCAACAGAAACATCCTATCATTTTTCATTGGAATCGACATTACTCAACCACCGGTGTACATCGAAATCCTCACGTTTCCACGTCACACAACGGCAATTCCCATTCCATAGAACATTGCTACAAAGTTTGCCAAATAAGTGTATTTTCAAAAACATTACCACAGAAAAGAATTCTACTAGTTCAGAGACACTTTGAATTAATAGGCAATTCAGAAACGAACAGTTTATTTATGAAATAGACACTGAAACATTGAACGTGTGTTGTTCAACCCAAACCTCAAGTTGAATTCATATATACGATCAATCACTAAAGATGTTGGAAAAAATGATCAGTTCGCTTTACCCTGAAACGTCCTAATATGCTCTATCTATGAAAGAGCTAGATCAAGCCTAAAATGGAGTATTGCTGACATATATGGGCTGGAACTGCCCAGTCTTCATTTTCCACTCTTGATAGAATCCAAAAACGTCTATGCGGCCTTGTGAGTGATGAACTGTTTTTCATTTTACAACCCCTTTCCTGCAGACGAAACGATGCAAGTCTCTCTCTACTCTACTATTATATCCATGGAAAATGTTGAAATGACCTACATTTTTTAGCTCCCCAAACACACCGCTTACCATCCACATTACTTTCATATTCCTTTAGTAAGGAGGAAGTTTCACTTTGATAGATGTTTCCCACGACCTGTTGCTTCTGAGGATGCTTTTCCGACCACTTAACTTCTTCAGGAGGGAGGAGGTACAGTGAATTAATGGATACCGGCTCGGATTGAGGAATCGGAGAGCCGAGTTCGAATTCTAGTCGAATCCATTATATTCACTTTCCCATTCACTTGGGAAAGGTTACGAATCCATTTCATTCACTTATAAATCCTCTTCTTCTCTCTCCTGCTACGGGCAAATAGCAGGACAGAGCAGGTTCTATAGCCTAGGATGGCAACTGATCTACAAAGAAATGGAAACCTACTGCGGAAAAAAATATCATGTCATGTATCTTTCGATACATAATCGCCTAAGCGATCACACATGGCACATAACTGACTGACTTAACCTCTTCAAGTCCAGGATTAACCGGTATCTTTCCCACATATTCACATGAACTGTTCCTCTTACATTTGTCGCTCACACGATAACCGCCTTCAGTAACCCTACCTTGAGTGGTTTTTGTGCCTTATATAAGGTGAACATTAGTAAAAGAAAAATTACTCAAATCTTCAAAATATCTTAAAATCGTCAAAAACTTTTATAAAAGATTCATCACATCGTGACTCACTGTTCTACGCAGTAACACGCTCGGCGGCTGCTACGAAACTTGAATAATTTTAAACCAAGCACATAAAATATATAGAATACTTGTAATGGGATATTGCTAACTTGGGATAATGACTTCAATAAAACATTAAGCAATAAATTTGAAATGAATGCGTCGTCTGATGACGAAACGCGCATCAAATTTTGAAAAATATAATTCATATTACCATAGAAAATGAAATGACTTGCGTAAAGATAGTATAAAAATATGCAATAACTTAAACAATTTTTTGCTGTCTTCAGTAGCAGACCGGGTCTAAAAAATATAAGTTACCAGAAGACAAATGTGATCCACCCACAACTACAATAGTATTATTTAATTTTCATTAGGAATAAATAAAATTTTCAAAAAATTCATATGGAGAAAAGAGTACAATTAAAATTGAAATAATGGGTTGATATTTTTAAATAGTTTACTGCACAATTTACACATTAACAACCAGTTCAAAAGTACAATAGAGCATTGCATGCAGTTCTCTATATTAAGAGCAATCGTTTGTATTTACAAGATGATTCTTTGAATCTGCCAATAATTGCTTCTGCATTCAATTTATCTAACAATTGTTAATGGATAGCAACATGTATGATTCCATATTTTCCTCAGGCAGCAAATGTCTTGTCTTTATGATTATTAGCGTTTCTAACATTGGACTTGAGCAACTGATAGTGTGCAGATGACTTTATAAAGTTCTTATTTCTTTTTTTATTATGAAATCAGTTGTCTGTTTTTGTTTCTTTAATGCATTTTTATTTAATATAGGGGCCCACTCCACTGGGGCACACTTCCCATCGGGAAAGATGACATACTGGCTAGTCTGCCACTGGCTGTCTTTCGGTAAGAACAATGGTATTTTGTGTCCTAGTGAGGTATTATTTCTTTGTATTTGTTTTCCTTTTGTTGCTATTCTAGTTAAGTTCATTAACTTTAAACATTGCTTTCTCTTCCGAGTTGAAGCATGATGAAGATAGAAGGATGCTTTGGTCTGAACGTTTTCGTGACGGCGTTCATTTACTTGCTGCAAGATTCAGGAAAGCGTTTGTGGAGATTAACCCCCACCTTATCTGCCAGAATGCTCGATAGGTGTCGTTCTATTCAGGACTATATAAAGAAGAACAAAATCCCCTCTTTTTTTCTCTTTTTGCTCAAGAATGAGGTCGGTAAAAGACGCGTCTCGTCGCGCCCGAGGAACTTTCTTTCCCTGGGCGGGTAGATTGCTAAATATCAAACCCAGTCACGTGGCACATTACACACACACACACACACACACAAACACACAAACACACACAAACACACACACACACTTTTCTAACAGAAAATCTTATAAATGTTTTTCTTCTATTTTCAATTGTCTGTGTACACACAAATATATTTTCTCTCTAAAAACATAAAAATACCTTAATAAAAGATAATATGAATAATGTTATAATCTTAGTTTGATATATATTCAAAGTCAATAATATAAATTTAAATAATTTATATAAAATATTAAATTAATCTATATAAATTATTAAAGTAATTGATATAAATTATTTTAAAAATTATTCAAACACTTTCATGATAATTGTTCGGGTGAGCTCTTTGCTATGGTACCTATATTTTTTTAAATTTAAGTGCAGTAATAGACTGGTGTCAAGATCTCATTAATTTACAATTGACCTGGCTGGATGCAGCCGTAAGTTGTATGCTAACAGTTTCTTTTTTCGCTTGTGGAACTCCATTCCGGCTCCATGATTTCCAGCCAACTTTAATCTGCAAAATTTTAAATGCAATGTCAATCACTAATCTTCCTGATTACACTTCTTTTCTCTTTCCGCTCATTCTTCTACAGCCTGTAACGGATACAGTGTAACCCCCTTGTGTTTTAGTTACCTTACTACCCTGCATGGGGTGGCACCGATTTAAAAAAAGTACTATTTTAAATAGATAAACAATAACTTTGAATATAATATTTTTTTTACATTTATAACGATGTACAAGTGTGTATATATATATATATATATATATATATATATATATATATATATATATATATATATATAATATATTTATTTATTTAAAAATTATAACATAAATATGTTATAAAATCACTAGTGATTTTATAACATATTTATGTTATAATTTTTAAATAAATAATTATATCTGCCCTTGTATTGAGCACTCTTTTAAGAATAGTTATTGTTGGTTATTGGAATTTATTCCGTATACACCAATCATATACTTGGTTAGGTACTTCTAAAGATTTACTAAAAAAATGAGCATCTGCATACATGATGAAAAAAATGTCCCAAACTTAATAAAAACAAAATTTTATCGTCAAAATCTTAATGTAATTATTGAAAAGAAAGCCCGAAGTGTTTTTGGATTATTATAAAATTATATTTTTTAATTCTTTTTAGAACCTTCAAAATTTTGATTAAAAATTTTATTTTTCTTGTGTCAATAAGATAGTATGGAAAATTTTTTAACGG